CGCCAAGGTCATCGCCAAGGAAGGCTCCTTCACCGTCAGGACCATGCAGCTCTTCGACACCACGCGCCGCTGCCTCCTCCTCCAGGCCCAGGCGGACGACGACGAGTTGCCGCGGTGGCTAGCCATGGAGACGGCGAGCACCGTTAGGGCGGTCGTGGAGCCCATGCTGCGGACGCACTTCGGCTGGGACGCCATGGACGGACTCTTCTGCAGGTACAGCCTCCTGCTCGAGGCATACTACAGCAGCAACACCAGCAGAAACAAGGACGACCTCACCAACGTCTTCCTCGTCTTGGAGAAGAAACAGCACTACTAGTGCTAGCTTTTTTCTAGCTCCAATCTCCATCGACGGTCGTCCCCTCTGTTTCTTCTAGAAAAAAAAAATTACACGCCTACGTGTTTACCGTCGACCAGTACTAGATTCGATCAATTCCTTCCATCTTACTTGGCCCTTCAATTCGTCGATCTATCTTCTGCTCATAGGGCACCAACGAGAGCTAGGGAAGCGTGGCTTCTCGATAGCTCAATAAAAATAATGAAGTTATCGACATGAGCTTATATCTTTATCTCAATTAAGCTTCTGCATTTATATTTATATATCTTGATTGTGTGCTTATTTTTCTAGCTTAGTTTGATAGCCTAGTTGATAAGGTTGAAACCTATGGTGCATAACTCTTCTACGGTAGAAATAACAACACATCTAACAAAACTTTAGTTGCATATCTATATAGATTATTTATTGCATAGCTTTTGGCTAGGTGAAAATTAAAGACCATAATTTAGAAGTAAATTTTAAGTTGCCTAATTCACACCTCTTTTAAGCGTCATGGTCCCATCACAGAGAAAACCGGCTGCATTGGATTCCCTATCTGACTTCGGAATGCAACATTGGCCTATCAGGGGCTGATCGCCACACATACTTTTATGTACTGCCCTGACGATCACAACCCTAGTTTTACCAACAAACCCACAAAAGGGTGCTGACCCCGATAGGCATCTCGATGATGTCTCACGATTTTGTTGTTACTAGGATCATGCCCGTGCGTTGTAAAGGGAACAAAATAATATCACAGTAATTTTAAGCTTAATTATGCATATTAGCCTGTGAGTGTTATTTCTTTATGTAATTGCAGCATTTCACTAGATTTCTCAGCTTTTCTTCAACAGTCTCCATAAGGGAACCATCAATCACCTGAAGAAAACACCTTAAACCATTGAAATATATACTCATCTCTTCTATATCATAACCAGCAAAAAAAAAATCTATAAGCCAATACCCAATAAAAGGGCAGCACTCTCAATGCAGCTTTCCTATATTATATTCCAGTAAAGTTAGAGAAGATGGTATTACCAGAAATTCATCTCATACAAAGGACAATATTGATCTATCCTTCACATTATTTTGTTCATCTTCCACTTCGTGTTGGTACGGCGATGCCCTACCAATATGTAATGGCAGGAGTGGTAACATCCAGTGATTGTGGTGAGTGGTAACATCCTGAAAACTCTTCCTGATCCAATTGGTAAACATGTTTTACTTCTATTTTATGATCTCAGCTGCAAAATTACAGCCACAGCTGGCAAGAAAGCCACCACTGACAAGGAACATGTTGCAGAAGTGCCGTACAAAGAGCTACTCAACCCATCAAAGTAATCTACAACGGCCAACCAACAAAGTCAGGATCTCGTAGTCAAATCTCGTGAAAATGACTTGAATGCATGTTAACAAAACCACTGCAAAGAACGAAATAGTTAGACCTTGCAACATGACAAAGTGCCAAAGAAGCCATGCAACAAAAAATGCATAGAAATTCCCTGCATCCACAATTTTTTGTCGACCCATGATATAGCTAAAATGATTTAGTCGCATCAAGCAGGTATTCCTCGACATAACCACATTTGAAAACTAAAATGATCTATTCAACTATTACTCTCCAACCAATAGCAGACTCACCTTGTACTCTCCAAACAAAAGTGGATCATGTCAATGTACTCGAAGAAGATGGGATTTCTCTGTCAAAAGTCAAACTCATGTAGTATTCAGTTAAAAAAAACTCATGTAGTATGGTAAAGTGGACATCTTTTTTGTCCTTAATAATTAGTCACCCTTTTCAAAATATTATTGTATTCATTTGTAGGGGCTTCCTACCTGAGAAAAGGTTCCCCTTACTTGGTTATTACCTGATTCTAACAATAACATTGATAATCCAACAAACTACACTAATGTATTATCCTAACTAACGTAAAGTCTGGAAACTTAATGTCAAATCAAAGGCGTTAGTATAGGAGATAAAAGCAAGCCTACTCACCAGATCATTGGAACTCTTCGTCAGATGTGGGAAGAGGGCAGCGACTCCCACCCGGCCACCCCAGTGAATGCGAGACAGCGACATTAACTCAGGGAGGGCTACATGGGCGCACGGTAAAGGACTTCATCTGCATCATGCCACTCAATATTAAGGAAAATCATAAACAGCAGGGGATGGACAGACATAGAGTAACCCACATGACAAAGTGTCCAAAGAAGCCATGCAACACAAACTTCATAGAAACCCCAATGCATACATAATTTTTTCCGACCCCAACAGCTACTTCAGTAGTGTAGTTGTAGCAGGTGGGTTCTAGAAAGATTGGCAAAAATAATAGTTTAAAAATGTAGAAGGATATTGGGGCATTTTTTTAGAAAATTCATGTGCTACCTTGACAATGATTTCACATGAGTCACCCTGAGGCCCATTAGTTACTAACCTTCCCAATGCATTTGCTAAGATATAGGACATTGAAATGAAAGAAATATAGAACAACCCTGTACACCATAGCACAAGTCTGACAAGGCAATAGAGGACATTTTCAGTAGGAAGGGACTAATAAGTGCTTCAGAATACAAAACAAAAAATAAGATAGACACAGGCATGGAAGTAAAGAACATACAGTCTGCAAGTAGAAAGTAAAATACATTCTATCATATGAATTGGTGTACAGTATAAGTCCTTTTTTATGGTAGCTTCTTTTCTGTTTGGCCCATATCTTCCTCAGTCTGCTGCACGATATACAAATTAGCCAACTGATGTGCTATGTCTATATCTGAAATCAACTTTACTGATTTTATGATATGATTTTGGGAAAGAAAAGACGACTCAGTTGCTCTTGAATTAACGCCTACCAAGCTCAATTTAACGTCAGTATTTCAAAAGTGGCAGTAACATTAAGCGAGCAAATTCAACAACATTCACAAAGCCTAAATACCATACCTGATTGATGTATACAGTTACATGCACCTCTCAACCTGAAATTCTAATGGACTGTGACTTTCAGTATAACTATGAGGACTAAGGACATGCTAGAAGAAATGTAAAAAGATACGACAGAAGCTGTTGAACGGTTAAGATGAAAATGCATTGCACTTTACCTATGGGATGTATATTAGTTTGCCAAGGTGAATCAAAGAGCTGGCAGTAGACCAAGTGCAGTATAATTTTTCTGAATTTTATTCATGCTACACCAGGCCAAGCAAGTTCAGTAGTAACTACACAACCATCTGAAGGCATATGTCGCTGGTTAGATGATAGACACAATTCTAAAAGAGATATGACAATGTAGTGATAATTTTTTTATTAAAAAGCAAGGTACCTCAGTGAGCTACAAACTATACTTGATCAGGAGCTCTTTTAATTGGCATTGCAATGAGATCATCCCTAAGCTTGATGTCATTGTCATAACCAATTTCCTCAATACAGTCCATGTAGTTTCCAAACGACCTTATTCAATAAATAGGGCATGCAGAAAAAGGAACCCAGTCAAGGTAAGGCCGCTTTCATTTATGCCTTCAGGCATCTTCTCCTAAACAACTCTCTTGACTCCTGAAATTTCAGTAGGCTGTAGAGGAGCACTAAAACATCAGACCTGCAAAGCAATAAGAATAAGAATCTCAGCATCGCCAGAAACATGCTAGATAGAAAGCATGGTAGCCTTCATGAACACAAACCTAGAATTCATTGAGCTCCACATCACTCAGAGCCTTACACATCGAGGCTTCAGAGATTATAACTCTTGATCAAAGAGTGGAGCAGTTGGGTGGCCTTCAGGGCATAGTAGAAGACCTCAAGCACCTGCCCAAAAAAGTCAACATCTATAATTATTAATCAGAACTTCCAAATGCCAAGAATTTTAACACATTAGGAAAACACACTGTTCATGTCTGGAACACTATCAACCTTATTCTAATATGTCTGACGAAAGTTTAGATATCCCTAAGGTAAGTATGAGACATTTGGGGGTACAAATACCCAATCAAGTATAATAAGATGCGGGGTAACCTGGATCTGCTGAAGAGGACCACTCAATGCAGGTTTCAAAATATCGCAGAAGGACTACATGATTGGCGCCATAACCTGCTCAAGGCTAACCTGCTGTGCGTCCCTCAGGTCCAGCTTGCAGCCCACAAAAATAACTGGAGCCTTCAACTGCATCACACAAATCAGACAAGACAAATCACAATGGGGCAACCCAAGAGACAATCAAACGCAAGCGATCTAGACCTACACCATGAAGCCCCGCCACGCCCTATCGAGAATCGCACCTGGAGTCGCCAGAGCATTACCGAGTGCGATGGGATGCCTCGAGCGCTTCCGGCGGCGCGCCGCCTCGGCCTTCCCTCGGCGCTCACGCTCGGCCTTGGCCTTGGCGCGCTGCATCAGCTCCCGCTGCTCGCGCTCCAACTTCTCTCGTGCCTGCCGCAGTTCTAAATCCATACTCAAATCCTTTCCCTCCAATTCATCGAGTCCTCCGATCCGATCTAAAATGAGTTTCAAACGATCTAAAACGGATCTGGCTGCATAGAAGAGGGATGGGAGGGGAAGAGAGTACAACGTGCCACAGACGAACAAACATTGGGGATGTGGGGACTCTCCCTGGGCGGCACAGCACCGGCATCGGCATCAGCCCGCCGCGCCGTCACTCGCCTATGCGTGGCGCGTGACGAGGACGGCGCACCGACGCCGATGCGCGACCGCGAGCGTGATCGGTGGCGGGCCCTGGACGAGGGCAGCGCCGGCCGTGGGGAACTCTGGATCGGGGAGGACGCGGTCCGGCCGTCGGACACCAAAGACGGTGTCGGGGACGTGGCGGAGTCGACGCGTCGCGCTTGGAGGAGGGCCCCCGCAGCGGGACGCACGGCCGGCGGGGTGAGGCCGCCACGACTTCCTCGCCGTCTTCCAAGCTGCTGCGGACAGCGCCGGTCCTAGGATTTTGAGGTGCTCTGGCAAGCTCGTCCCACGGCCCGACCACGTATAAAATCTTACGGCTTTGGTGTCGCACCCGGGGATGGACGGGAGCGAGCGGTTTTGGTGTCACACCCGTGGATGGATTTTTTATGAATGTTTTGGTTGTAGAGATGGCTGAGCAGGACGACACTGAAAATCCGGGTTAGACTTCGATAGTATGACCACCTCTCTACACAACATTGCAATCTAATCCTATTTAATGGAGATCTCGAACCTGCCAGTCAGAGTTGTCGACGACAGCCAGAGCAATGATCCCATTGTGAAGAGTTGGTTAGTTGCAGCAATTTCCTGTATCTACTAGGACTGTGCTCATGCGTCGTAACGGGAAAATCATGGCATTGCCTTCCCAATTATGGTCTAATTTTTTCCCTTCCTCAATCAGTCAATCACGGTATTGCCTTGCATATTAATTTTCTTTTTCCCTCCTCAAGCACGGCATTGCCTTCCATTCTGGGTTTGTTTCCTTTAATTGCGCCGGTAGGGAAGCGATTATATAGGAAGTTTTTGGTGCTGCCGGGTGAACTTGTGTTGAGGGATGTTTGGTCCTGCCGGATAGACGCTGACAATCCATATATTTTAGTTGTAGATAGAGATAGAGGAGAGATAGAGACGTAGATAGAGATTCAAACGAGCACATTTTCATTCGACCTGTCTACACTCTAATTTCTTCCTTTATCTGCAGTCCATCCATCAAATCATGGTTGCCTTTACCTCTCGTTCTTTAACCGAGAAGAGGAGCTGATGTGATTCATTTTAGTTGTTGAGGGGACACACACAACTCAACGCATCCGAGAACGCTACCAAGCTAAGACTTAGGATCGTATCAAGAACGCTACCGAGCAAGATTTAGGATCCTCTTTGGTAGAGCTTAACATACATGACTTTAGTTTCTTAATTTGTTGTAGCACACTGTAGGGTTACTATAGCACGAGCCAATGAAGCTGCCCACACCTTCACTGGCTTCTCCTTCTTTGTAGTTTATTTTGGCACGGAGAGAGAAAGAGAGAGGAGACTCAACGCTACATTGTTAAAAATGATGCTACAGTGAATTTGCCCGGTGGAGTTGATGCCGCTGAAGCTTCGCCAAAGAGGGTCTTGGGCTCTTTCCAAATCTTAGAAGCACTGTCTTGCCATGGACATGCATTGAAAACAAGTTCTAAATATGTAAATTGGCAACCAACACAGATGGTAGTATCCTAGAGTTTTATCCTCAAGGTATCTAACCGGGCGACACAGGGTCGAGTGGAGCCATCGCCACGCGTGCGCCTGAGGTCGAGACGTCGTGATTCGCGAGAAAAGAAAGAGGGAGCTAGGATTTGAGAAGGTTACATGACATTTATATATATGGCATTCTATGCATCCAAGAATCAGCATTTATCCTTTCAAGATATCTATAACCGTGGTGGAAAATAGGTCAAGCATAGTGTCAACTTATTTAATAGTTTTTTTTTTTTTTTGAGAATTACTGATCCTATGAACAGTAAATCATCAGCTTCGTGCCAAGCTGGGCTAAGGCCGTGCTTTTTAGGACAGTGCCGATCCGTTGGGCCTGGCCCGTAACATAAGGTGCTAGTCCATCTCCATGGCTCCACACCTCAAGCTGGCTGGCTGACAGCGTGGCTCCACAGCGCTACGAGCACACAATCCGCATCGATCCCCACCGCAGAGCGCAGATTGCCCCCGCCTTCCCTCCCTCCCTATCTATCCTCCCTACAAATAAAGAAAGAAAGAGAGAGGACGCCACGCCAGGGCCGGCCGTAGGTGGACAGATTCTCCGCGTGACTTCGGGTGTCGCCGCCGAGTTTTCTCCGGCTGAGGGCGGCGCGACCGGCAACCAGCGTTAGCGCGACCGGCGACATGACTCATATCCTTCCTAAACCCCGATTAGATCTGCGCGTAGAGGGACTCTTCCTCTAATCTATCTTTTGCTTGCATACGATCTCGATCTGTTTCGTTTTTTTCGATTCTGTTATTGCCCTGTTCCTCCTTCCTTAACTCGCGCGCACGCGGCAACCAGCGTGACCGCGACCGTGAGCGCGCGGCGGCGCGGAAGCCCAACGCCAAGGGCCCTCAGGACGGGCTCACCCCGGAGCAGCGCCGCGAGAGGTGCGCTTAGTTTTATTCTGTTTGTTTTTTGTTTGATTCGATCGTTCTCCGGCATAGCCAGATCTCGGTTGCTTGGCGCTGACCCTGTCCCGATCCGGTTGCCGGATCTTTGTTGCCAGGGACAAGAAGGCGCTGGAGGAGAAGGCGGCCAAGAAGGCGCAGCAGGCAGCGGCCGGCGGCACCGGGACCTCCATGGACAACAACAAGAATAAGGCAGGTGGCAAGAAGTAGGCGGCAGTGGCGCCCCGTCCACGCGCGCGCCGCCACCCCTGTACGATTATCGATCGATGCCTTTAGCTTGTAACTTGTTCGCATCCTCGTAGATGCGATGCTTGTTGGGCCATAAACTCGTCCTCTGTTAGACATTTGGTGATGAGAATGATAATACATGGTGTTCTGGTTTTGTGGGCTATTTTCTCTGCTCTTTCTATGGCTTTCTGTTATCTACTTTGAGTGGTTGTCTTATCAATGGATGGGAATTCTCTTAATAACTAGTTTATTTAGAGGATGAATTAGGATGTGAAGGAGCTTTTGCTTGTCATTGTGAACAATTGAAATATGATATGTCGAAATTGGAAATTAGATTATGCTGTTATGCTCTTCTATTTCTGCAATTCAGTTATTACCAAGCTAATATGTATTACTCACTCAGTCCCAAATCTCACACTTCGGGGGTCAATCAATCTTTAAGTTTGACCAAATAGTACGTGGCGTTCTTGTGCGTTGCCACGGGATAGCTAATATTTTATACTAAAAATATATACGGATCGCACGATAAAATAACAATACTATAAAAATTAAATACCAATATTAAAGTGACATTTAATCTAAAAAGCAAAGTTTATGAATTTAACACAGTCACGGAGTGCGCGGCGTCGCAGGCTCACAAACTCTACTTTATAGATATTTCCGTGATGCGGCTAAGATAATGTTTTATATTGGCAGGAAGAAATCTCCAATATCTATTTCTTTCATGCTCACAAACTAATGACCCTAGTGCATCAAAAGGAAATACAAAGGAGCTATCCTCCTGAATGCGCGGAACCAACGCCAATATAATCGCGCCATCCCACGACCACTAGTGTGGTGTTGTTTAGCACTATTGTTCATTATTATCGCTAACTTGCTTCGTTGGTTTTATTCAAGTAATTCATGTTTGTAATTATGCAGGTGTTAATTCGGTTGATCCCATATAATCACATGAGAAAAGTGGAGAAAGTCGACAAAACTCATGGTTTTGAGAACATACACGTGTAATAGTTATGAATGGTTACAAAACGAAATATTATGAACAAAACACTCAAAGTGTTATTTTTATAACAATAATATAACACATGTTCAATTTTTATTATGCCATCACACAAGTGTATATAAAACATCTCCGTGTAGAGTCTGATAAACCATTTAAAAATATCTAGGAACAGCGACAAATATGACATTAGTGAGATATTATTTGTACAATATAAATTAAATGGAAAAATGCATTGTATGCGTTAGTAATGTTATGTTACCTCGTCTATAGCGTTAGAACCTCCTTAAATACAATACTCTTCGTGAAAGTTCCATCCGCTATTGGGGTCTTTTTATCCATATCTTTTTTATTTGACGCATTCTCATTTTTCCCCCTCGGTATTCTTTTTAGCATTTGTGTTCTCTATATTTTTGGCCTCCTCCTCTTGTGCCTCCACATCAGGCGGGAGGGCAAGGATCTTAATATTGGTTCTTGACGTGGCTCTAGACATTGCAACGTACAACCGACCGTGAGAGAACACCGGTGTGGGTAGGTACACACCCACGTTCGGGATAGTTTGGCCCTGTGACTTGTTGACCGTTATAGCAAAGCTCAGCCTGATAGGAAACTGCTTCCTCTTAAACTGGAATGGGAACATCTCGTCATCAGACAGGCATAGCGGTATTTGAGGAAGGAATACCCGCTTCCCAGCATGCTACCCCACCACGATTTCCGCGTCGATTGTATTTCTTCGGAACCCCACACCACCAGCCTTGTACCGTTGCATAGCCCATTGGTAGGGTTAATATTCCTAAGCAATATGACAGGACACCCGAACTTGAGCTTCAAGACGTGTGGAGGCAGCCCATTGGGGGTCAAACTGTTAAGGAACTCCGATGGATAGTAGTTATGTGGATCATCTACCGCAGAGTCAAAACTGTGATACACCGTCTCACTGCCCTAGAATATATCAATCATTTTCATATTGATCATGTCCACCCAATCGTTACGTGTAGATAAAATCGCTCTGGTGGTCATGTAGTCTTTGTCCGCCATGTTTGCATTTAGATCTAGAAAGATGATGTCGATCAATGTATGAAGATCTTTCTCAGCATCGCCAGAGTACGGGACACATATCTCGTTTGGAATACATACATTGTCATCTCCGTTAACCTCTTCCGTTCCACCACCAATGCGCAACAGATAATATGCAAACCACGGGTAACTCTGAGCCCTCATGTTGCGGGCGAGCTTTAGGTGGCACATAGATTCCCAAAGATATGACCTTCGTAGAGAAGCACCGACTATTTGAGCTCTGGATCCTTTCTGCACAACAGGGAGGACCTGTCTGAAATCCCCACCAAGGACAACAGTCTTCCCACCAAACGATAGATTTGACCGGCCCAATACATCCCATAGGCTGTTGTCTAGTGCTTCCACATTTTGCCTCTTTGTCATAGATGCCTCATCCCAAATTATGAGAGCTGCTTGCTGCAGCAACTTGGCAGTACCACTATGTTTCGTGAAGCTACAGCAACCACCCTCTTGAAGAGTGAGGGGTATCTTGAAACGCGAGTGGGCTGTCCTCCAGCCTGGCATTATGGCTGCTGCAACTCCAGATGTAGCTGTAGCCACGGCAAGCTTGTCCTGGCTGCGTAGTTTTGCGAGAAGTGCCCTATACAAAAATGTATTTCCTATCCCGCCAGGTCCATCCACAAAGAACAACCCACCTTGTTTGCTGTAGACATCGGCCATTATGTCATCATAGGTAGACCTTTGCTCGGCGTTGAGTGAGTCGCACAATAGCACATCTTTGGGATTCTGCTCGACGCTAACTTCCTCAAATATCTCACGAGGAATATGGCTAGCATCGTTGTATGAGTGATCAATATTTGGAAGAGGAAATGACCTTATGTCCTTTCCCATAGACTGCAGCATGTTTCTAATGTCTATCAAAACCATTTGTTGCACCAGATCCGAGGATGGATGATTGCGGCTGTAGTCCTGTAACATTGCATCGTAGTGTTTTTTCCACAACCCCATCACATCATGCGGCTCGTAGAATACCAATATTGTTGCAAATTGCCTCCGCGGACAGGAAGGCATCTAGAATAAAGTAGCTTCAGTTAGACATTCATCCAGTGTATTGTCTTCTTCGATTAGACCCCTCCTTTCTGTAGCTTCATGGAACAAAGGTAGTAGCACGCCATCAACCGTCCTCAGATGTTCGTATGAGGTAGCACCAGCAACATTGTTCTCCCTTAGCAGGATGAGCCGAGATGACTCTTCCAACTTAAAAATGGAGTTTTTCCTTTTCTGTCAGAATTTACCATCAGACTGCCAGGTAAAATGCTCTGGAAAGTCCTGATACAAGATTCTGTGGGCTTCCTTATGATGCCTGTTTGCATCGAAGTATGCTGTCAGCATTGACTCTTCTACACCTGGCCTATTAACGATCCGTTCGACCTTATCCCATTTATGAAATGCCACCATGTGCATGTTGGGTAGATGAAGCTGCAGCTGCTGTACTGGTGGATGGTTCTTGCTCAAGTCAAAGCCATATATCCTCCATAGTGCTTCTGGAGGTGTCACCCACCGGGCATCTCTATACTGCTTGATCTCATCAATGTTCCCTTTCTCGTCTGCTTTGTCGGTCTCCCTCATCACCACCGATGCCCTGTCATGTCCCTTGTATATGTATTTGAATAGATACTTTACTGATTTAATGCTCCCATAGGCCTCAACATTGATATGGCAGTTGAAGGTACGTAGCAGGCAAGGGTTGTAAGGCACGACCCATTGATTGTCTAGGTAATGGCCTCAAACTTTTAGCGTGCGTCTATCATTGTGTTGCCGATAGATGGGGTATGAATCCTTTCCCTATGACGTTGCCCACCATGCACGGACAGTATGGATTTAGCGTCCCGCAGGGACCATGCATCATATGCTTCGTCACCATCTTGTAGAGCTCAGGGTACTTCTTGTTTGATAGCTCTGCATGTCATATTGCTCGGGACATGTGAGCTTGTACTTCTGTTCCATTATCAGCAAGAAGTGTGCATGCGGCAAGCCTCTCTTCTAGAACTCCACTACATATGCATAGGCCTTCACCTTCCCAAGTATGTCTTTCTCCATCAATATTTTCCTCATCGCCTCTAACTTTGCTCTGAAGACCCGTGTGATAAGATCCGGGTGGTCCTGTGGTGTCTGGCCTGGATAAAGTTCATTCTTGATCTGATTCCAGTTAGGATTGCACGTCATTGTGAAGGAAGATATCAGGTTTACCATACTTTTGCACCAGAGCCACTGCATCCATGTATTGGCGCCTCATATCATGGGGTCCCCCGATGAATGACGAAGACAGGACAATACGCCTTCCGACATTCTTAGCAGACCCTTCACCCGAATGCATGCTATCCACCAAGCCTTGGTATAGGTCAACCCTCAAAGTATCCTGATTGTTCCTCATGTAGTCTAAACGTGAGCTCTCAATCTTGATGTAGGTGTCGACGGTGAACTGCTGGAAAAGACATCGGCCATAGAGTATTGGATTAAATATCTGTCACACCCTAAAATTTGCCTCTTTTAAAAATAGGTTTAAAATGATTTATTTCTGAATTTTGTGCTTATAAAATATAGGAAAATAAAATTTTCATTAAATTAAAATTCATCATAAGGTTTAGCAACATGTTTGTGCATACATGCTGGTGCATTTGATTTATTTGGTTGAGTGGTTTTGATTGAAAATTCAAAATGGTTAAATTGCTTTTGCAAATGAAATTAAAATTGACTTTGGAAAAAAGAAGAAGAAGAAAACTCTCTCTCCCTCTATTTAGGCCCGCCCTTCTCCTCCCGCTTGGGCCTGCGCCCCGCATTCCTTTGCTTCAGCGCGGCCCAGCTCTCCTTCTGTTCTTCCACAGCGGCCCAACTTCGCCGACGGCCCAGTCGCCCGCGCTCCTCTTTCCTCCCCTTTCCCTCTGACAGCCCGTCCCCACCCATC